TCCCATCCTCAAGAGTCTCTGCTCTTCCACCTCATCTGCAAGGTCATCGATCCAAGCTGGTGGGTCTCCTGGGATCCTGTCCAAGGGAGCTTCTGACCACAACTGTTTGGGAATCATCGTCGATGAAGTCTCCTCCTCTTCTCCATCCCAAGACAGGAACTCCTCCTCACCAAAGAACTGGTCCATGTGATAGTACACCTCCGCTCCTACTTCTGTTGCTTGTACCCTTCTTTCGACCTGCGTCTTCTCCAACCTTCTGTCTCTTTGTCTCTGAGCTCTCTCCTTCACTCTCACGCACAAGCTTGAAAGTAGTGAACTTCAACCTCTTCGCATCTCCTCCATCACCTGTCGTGCTGAGGCTACTCTTCTGTGCTGGGCTTCTCGGTGTAGCGCCAGGCATCGAAGGTCCAGCTTGGTTGTTCATGTCATCAACCAGGTTCGGATCCTTGACTCTGGTTGGTGGCAGACTGACACTCTCCTCCACATAGTCCAGCTTCTTGTTCTCCACGATCTTCTGTTCTTCACTCATCTCCTGGGCTTGAACCTTCTCTTTCTCAGCCACTTCTACCAAGTCCTTTGCCTCCTCTAGCTTTCCCGCATAGGACTTCGAGAAAGCTATGACCTCCTTGGCATCCTCGTCCTGCAGAGCTTCTCCTCCTGCTCCAGGGGTTGGCAATCCCAGCAATGGTCCTCCAACCATAGTTGCAACTCTCTTTGATGGGACGATCCTCCCACCAAAATTCTGCTGGTACTCCCACGAGTATGCCGTGAAGCCCTGGTAGCAAGCTATGTACCGTGTACTGGCATCTGCAACCCTTCGAATGGACTTGCTGAGGAAGACCCTGTTTCCATCTCCAATGACCCATGCGTCTTGCACCTCCGTCTTCCCCAAGCAAATGCCCACCTTCCACTTTGGATCTGCTTTGAAGCCCTGCTTTTGCTTAGTGTAGGCGAAAACCACCTCTCCAAAAGGACACATTTTGCCATCGTAGGCCTTGCCATGAGTCAACTCAAAGCTCGTTGTTCCTCTCAGCACCTGATAGCGGTTCAGGGTCCATGCAGCATGGCGGCACGCCCAAGACCATAATGGATGTTGGCGCTGGAATCGCAAACCGATCTTCTCCGCCAGACTCTCCATCATCGAAGCTGCAAGACCCCTCACCCTCTGAACTGCATTCTCAGCCAAAGAATTGCCAGCTGAGTCATAGAGCTTTGTTGTCCCCATTGTAGTCTTCAGCCCCATAGCTGTCCTTGAAGACACCAAGAGGCGAACAATCTGCCTTGCTGTAGGTTCATTGTCGCAGTAATACTGCACAGCTTCATGTCCTAGGATCTGAGTGAATGCAAGCAGCTCGTGGGTGATGAGGTTCATCTGGTTCTTTGTTTTCAAGGGCAACCCTAGCAGCGACCCTGTTTCTGAGCATACCGCAACCATCAGCAGTGCTCCACTCTCGTCATCTTGGACACCCTCCTGAGCAGCATCCTCTTCCTCTGCTCCAATCGCACCGGAACCTTTGGCTTTCACCTTGCAAAAGTCGAAGGAGATTGTGGGGCATCCTTGGTCATGGGACTTTCCCGTCCTTCTGCGCTGGTCAGGACGAGCTCGGTGCCTAATGCAGGCCGGACACCATGGAGCGTAAGGGACATGAGTGAGTTCATGGGCTTTTCGCTCTGCCTCTGTAGGGACTTTTGCTGTCACCTGCTCCACAGGAATCCTCTGACCCATTGCTTGGCCTCTGGCAGCCAAGTCCTTGGCCATCATCAACTCCAGCGCTCCTTGATGTGCCACCAGTCGACTAAAGCACTTCCTCTTTCCTCCGCTCTGCCCAATCCTGTAGAAAGCGCAGGCAGCTCTCAAATTCCTCAAAGGGCTGTCCACTGTGAGTGGGACTTCATTCACTCGAATCTCCTCTGGAAGTGCAACACCAATCTCATAGCGCACCATCTGCTCTTCTAGGTCACGGCCAGGATTGGGCTCGTCATCTCCACCTGGAATGTCTGCACCATCGAATTCTTCCATCTCCTCATCTCAAGCTTGTGGAATGGCGAGCTCTTCAACTGCTGGCCTAGGACCAAGTTGGACTGCATCATCAATCTCAAAACCGAACACCTCTCAAACTGTTCCTTCCTGAGCCACAAATGTCATCACCTTGCTAAGACCCACATCTCGAAGTTCTTCCACTTCCTCTTCTTGCTCCTCCAGGCCGTCTAGAGGTTCGGCCATCTCGACCAACTCCCAACTGCCCTGCTTCTCAACCAGGGTAGTTCGACACATCCCTTCTCCTTGATCTCGAAAGCCCGGGATGAACTGTGGGCTTTGAAACCTTGTGCTCAAGTGAAGTCCAACCCAAAACTCATCTTTCTTCTTCCAACCATAGCCGCTTCCAGCCATGTTTGTCAGCTCCTCATTCAGCCTGACTGCCAGCGTGCGAATCACCAGGGGTTCTGTGATCACCCTGATGGAGGCATCAACCACTAGACTTTGATTCTGAAACGCTAAAGGCACTTCAAGGCTGCCATTTCTCAGACATTGTCTTTGGCCATCAATGGACCACCCGCTTCTCATCAAGCGTCCAAAAGTCAAGATGGGCTGGCTCACCATGTCGCTGAAGGTTACTCTCTCCTTCAAGACCACAGATTGGCCCTCAGATGTCATCATCAAGATGTCCACATCTTTGTTGCCATAACTCTGGATCTTCTTTCCTTGGGCGTCTTGTAGGTGAAGAGCCTGTCCCAACACCTGATCACTTCTCGTCATTCCCATGAGCCGTCCTGGGAAGATTGAAGCATCCGCCCCTGAGTCAACAATCACCTTCAAGGTCTGTTGCTCTTCTCCGGTCCTGGGCCTCGTCGACCTCCTCTTCATTCTCAGTCTCAGCAATGGTGTTGACTTGGTAGCAACCATCCTCCTCTTCATCCTCTGAGGCAATGTTGAAAAATTCAACTTGGCTCACAACTCGAATTGAACCAGCTTCACTCCCTTCTCTCAAGTCGAAGATCACTGGCTGTGAAACACGCCTGATATTCTTTGCACCCACGTTGGTGTCTCCGCCTCCTCCACTCGATGTGCTCGTTGTCAACGTAGTAGAGGGCGAGGTGGTGTGAGAACCTGCGATGCTCTGGACTGCTGGCGCTTCGACTTGCCTGATCCTCCAACAGTCACGTGACATGTGTCCGGGTTTGCCACAGGTCCAACACACTTCATTGGTGGCTTTGCCTTTGCCACCTTTGCTCTCTTTGCCACCTCCTTTACCTTTGCCTTCTTTTCCACTTGGTTTGCCACCTTTCCCTTTTCCCTTCTGTCGGTCTTCTTTGCCCTTTGACTTGCCTTTACCATCTTTGGTCTTCCCTTTTCCTTTCTTGCCGTCACCCTTGATGCGGTCAATCTCCATGGGCATTGGACCGTTGGGATCTGCTGCACTTGTCATTGGGCTCATTCCTGAAAAAGTAAGGGCTCCCGACTCATTCCACTTGGTGGTGGCCGTGTCGAAGGCAATAATGGCTTCCCTGATCTTGTTGTATGAACTGCCCTCATTCAAAGTCAGATTCAAATGAGTCTTCATCTGACCCGAAACCGCTCTGAGCAACACCGCCGACCTCATGTCAGGTGATAACTTCCCTCCAAGGCGCTCATACTGAACATAGTGTTCCTCCAGCTTGAGGATTTGAGGCAGCAAGGAACTCTTCATGTTGAAGCTCGGGTACGACATTATCCCTTGCAGGAGGTTCATCGTCCTGTTTCTCGCCTGAGGTTGACAGTTCATCAACAGTTGTCGAAGTGCTTCCATGCCATTGAACTTCTCAACATTCTTGATGACACCTGTCAGTCGTCCTTGTACCAAACTCCCCAACAAGCTGTACAAAAATCGACTTCTCTGTTGTTCACCCTCATCTAGCAACTCCCAGTCTATCTCTGTTGTCAGGTTGGCTTCCAGCTTCTCCAACTCGTCTTGGAATGCTGCATCAACAACAACCAGATATTGTTTGACTGTCCAGTACCAATCTCGCCACTGCAAAACCTCTTGTTCCCTGTCAGTGGGATTAAAGGCACCAGGTCGTGGGATCAACTTTGCTAGATCACGCTTCAACACCCCTTGGCTTCCTCCTGCTCCTTCTGCACCTGGACCAGCTGCTCCTCCACTCAAAGCCGCTGCCTGAGCCGCCTGGGCCGCTGCATTCGCAGCAGCTATGACAGCTTGTGCCAAAACTGGCATGTCCGATTGGTCCATCTTCTCCTTCTCCTCGGTCTCAACCTCCTCGAACAGGACCTGTCGGCCTGGCAGCTTCTCACCTCCAACCAAAGCTCAGCCGCTCGAGGATCAGCTTCTGGTAGACACAGGCGCAGATTGCGAGCAACGTGCAACACCAGTTCTATGTCTGCTCGGCGCGGGCGCGCTTACCCAAGGGTTCAAACACTTCCTGGAGCTCCAGCCGGTGACCACCAGCCTTCACAGCTCCGCTACCATGCGTGCTGTTTTGAACCACGAAGGCCTCACGATCAGAAACCTGTACATGTTGTGTTGGAGTTGAGTAGCTTGTTTTGCGTAAATATCCAATTTTTAGATGGAGAGAGATCGCTATGAAGGAAGGAAAGGAAGAATATGCTTCAAAAGACCAATCATCGAACTTGTTCCAGATAGATAGATAGATAGATAAGTTTAAGGAATATTGTGACACTTTACATGTCAGATGATCAAACGCAACATCAAGAGTGCTAGAATAGAAAAATGCACTGCCACAGCCTCTTGGACTCTTTAATAATGGGCTTCCCATTCCTCATGTCTTATGTGGCAAAGATTGGAAGAAAAACTCATATCAGGCAAGCTCCTCTGGCTGCAGGGACTGATCCTTGTTCTCATCCTATTCTCAAGACCTTTGTTGCTTGTGGAGGTAGGCGGTTTTTCCAACTCCCAGCTATGAACCTTACCAAAGGCCTATGACGCATGGTTCAGAAAGAGCTGACAACAATAGCAAGCGACGATCAAACAGGCCAAATGCTCTGAGCATTCATGTCGATCTTGAACAAGTGCCTTACAGTCAAGAGCTGGTTGAACAGTAACCCCAAAGCCCTGCCCTGTGTTGAGGAATGAACTTCTTATTTGCCAAGTCCTTGATCTTGAAAACTAGCACCTGTGCACCAAAAACATATGTCAAGAACAACTTGCAACTTCGACCGACACATATTTTCGCAAACTCCAAATGTAGGTACGCACGATGCCTGCGTTGTTGGCTCTGCTCCTCCCATCCTGAGTTTGGGCAGGTGGCGAGAGGCTAAAGCACTTTCCTCTACGTGAGTACTACAATGTTTGTTCAGCCAGCCGTGGCACCACTTCTGCTTCTTCTTTTGTTTTCGCTCTTCCGCTGGCAACCTTCTTGCCTTTTAACCAAGCATGTGCATGATGGAGTAGCTGAAGCTCAGGGAGGACATTTGCCTAAAAAAATTGTATACTCATATTACAATTACAATCTCGTCAAGGTTTCTTATCATATCAAAAGGAAGCCGATCTCCATAAGTAATAGTAGACTTCTCTCTCTGGACTTGGCAGAAGGCTGGTACAGCCGGGCACATTCTGCACATGCTGGGTTGCACATCCCTTGAGCCCTCATTGGGACACAGTCCGTATCTAAACCTATTTAAGAGGTTGTTCCAGATTGATCCCGAATAGAATCTGCTCCACACTTGTCTTGCGCCTCATTTCTCTGCTCATGCTCCTTTCGTCGCTGCTCCACCTGCTGCCTCAAGCACTTGGAGAAGACGTGTTTACATGGAGCACAGAACCAAAGTAAAAAAATTGTACTGTGTCCGGACAGTGCAACCTCTTCCTACACGCCGCAGTGAAGTCTGTCCACCTGTCCTGATGTCTTGCAAGTTCATTCTGACACCAAAAGCACGTACATGTCAGTTGGGACGAGGCAGTTGCTGACAACCACCACCCATCTTTGTCGAACGTCATTGTTGTGATCTTAAACGGCCTGACTTTCCGCTCAACTGTGGAGGGGTCGGCAATGGCCTGTGAAGGAAGGGCTGTCCTTTGCACTTCGTGCAAAGCATCAAAAAGAGATGTGTACAAGGAACCAACATGAACAAACCAGTTGTCACCCTTCAATCCTTTACTGGTTTTTGGCTCTGATTCAATCAAACGTACAGTCGTACACTCTGTATATTATAGAATTCTCTAAGACATTGTATAAGAACCCGGTTACCTTTGTCACGTGGAAGTCCTCTTGTGACCATTTTTTTGTTTCCGGTCCATATCTACAGTATATTTTGGTTTTCTTGGATGGTAGCCTTTTGGATGGTAGCCTTTTGGATGGTAGCCTTGGTGGCGTCCTGGCAAAACATGTGCTCTTTCTGGAAAGACAGTTCCATGTTGCATGCACCATCGCCGGCTTACTATGTAGCAGTAATGATTGGTGATTCCGGCATCTCATGCAATTGCAGGTTTGATTCTGCTGTCGCTGGTGCTGGTGTCATGTGCTTGCCACATCCTTGTGGGGCCAGCGGTGTGTGTGTGTAGCGCCTTTGGAACCGTAGGGAGCCTTTTGGCTTTTAAATTTGCAGGTGCTGATGAAAACGGTGCTAACAAAGGCACTGATCAGTTATATACCTGTGATACAGTTGGAGACGTCCAACTGAGCCCCTGCTCGTGATGACTGTACTTCGCAGTGGGCCCCTTGGTAACTAGAACAAGCTGCTGGCCATTGCAACAGCTCTGATATCTGCAGTCAACGGTGGTCCAGGCACTCGTCTCTCGGCGACCGCTCGATGTTTGGAACTTCCGTTTGGAATCTTTTGGACTTTTGGAACTTTGAGCTCTGGACCTTGAAGATTGTCAGGACTCCTTTGCACTTGTTTTACCCTGGATTTTTTGCACCTAGGCGCTGGGGCAAGTGGCATTCAGAACGTACGTGCTTTATCCTGTGTGTGTGTGTGTGCAAAACCCTTGGAGTCACAGGGAGCCTTTCGGTTTTCCAAGCAGGGGAGGGGTGGGCATTCTGGAAGTCACCGCTCAACGAAGACACTTCAAGTTTGCTGTGATATGCAATCTGGACACAGATTGCACGTACCTGCGAGAAAATGATTACCACTTATGTCCTCCTTGGTCCCGTGCATAACTAGAACAAGACTTCTCTCTTGGCGTTTTTTGCATGCAACCAACCTACAAGCGATGGCCTACAACCCATTACGAGGGCCTCCCACCTAGATGCGATGGCCTCCAACCTAGATGCGATGGCCTCCAACCGCCTCACATACTACCTGCTTTACTCAGGCCCTTTTCCCCTATGGTTTCTTCAGGGCTTGGGGCGCGATCAGTTCAGTATGCATTTCACGAGTGTGTGTCTTTCTTGGTGGTCACGTTCCTAATCTGTGATGCCTTGTGAGTCAGTCTTGTGAAATCCAAACTTGTATGCATATGGCTTTTGCTGGCCATGTCAAGCTCTTCCCATGGGTTGCGCCCGTGAGGGTTGTGTCTCAATGTCACAGTCACAGTATGTTGACTCAGTTGCTGTCTTGTTGATGGCACAGTGGTCCTTGCAAAAGGATATTCCACTTGTACATAGCGGGTGTGTGGGTAGATGTTCATGGAGCCTGTGCCTTACATCGGTCCTGTGATCTTGCTTTATCGGCCGGTTTCATTGGCTGAGAATGCCCTTTGCTGCTTGGATGGACTCACATTTATCATTTATCGCACAAATGGACATCACAAATGGAGCCCGTCCATGTCCTTGTTGTGTTTTCATAGGCCATAGGCGGTGTTGATAGTGCCATGAGACAGTGTGCAGTATTGGTTGTTCTTTGAGAGGGTTATAATATATATATATAACCGCATCCCATTGCAATGTTTTGCTATTGGGTTTGGTTGCTATGATATTCCACTTCTAACCATCGATGACAACATTGGCATAATTCAAAATTCCACTTCGCTACGGTGCGAAGCATGGCATGCCTCATCACCAAGCACACGCATCAAGTTTGCCATCTTCACCTGCCGCAGAAAACATGTCGAGTCAAGATCAATACACTCACAGGTGTAAATGATAGAGCCTGCAAGACCCGATTATATATTTAATTGGTTTCAAGAAAAATCTCTTGAGATGAATATGTTCATCGCCCAGTACCCTCTGAGCCTTGGGAGGCGGCGGCTGCAAGATACCCATCTTAATCTTGTCTCGGATCTCCTGCGTTCGCTCCTGGCCTTGGGACTGGTGCAAAAGGAAAGCATCCAAAGCACCGCACTCCATGAAATTGCCGAACAAAATACAGACAGTTTGATCTTGAAGTCATTGCAAATCTGTTCAAGGCAAATGTGCGTCACTCAGAATCCCAAGCAATGAAAAATATCCTGAGTATCAAACGCTTCAGTCTCCTCAACTTCTTGCGCTCCTCCGGCGAAAGAGTGGCAGAGAAAAAGCAATGCGAGTCAACATTCGACCTTCCCAGCAACATGTTGATCCCTCATAGCAGGAGCCCGTTTGTAATGATCAATTGACACAAATAGATTGCATGGATTCTGGGTTTCTGGTGCATTTCCTCACACCCATCCCCAACCGAGCACTTTTCCTGCAAGGATAAAGCCTGTAGAAAAAGTAAACAAAGCTCTACAAACGCTGCCACGTCTACACCAAGGGCTGCTCCGCCCAAGGTGTCACTAAACCAATGTGCATCAGCAAGCATGCGACAGGATCCCATTAGAATCCAAGCTCCGAACGCCACAGCAAGCCAATGGTCAAGCGAAACTGACTTCTTATGATGATTCTTCAATCGTGGCAGAAGCAAAAGCAGAATCGTTGCAGCACAAAAAGTGAAGCGTGCTGTATGTGCCGATGGGTATGAAAAGTCCGAAACCATGTTAGAAGGTCTGGCACGATGAAATCCTGCTTTCAAGACCCCTTGACAGAAGCGCACAAATTGAAGACCACCAGGAACAGCAAGAAGCAACAGTGCTCCATCTTCAGTTGAGCTTGCCAAGCTTGCCAAAGCTGTCAGCCAGCACAAGAATTGTGCGGTATCATCAAGCTTGTTGGAGACATCCTTGAAGAGTGCAGGATCAAGTCTGAGTGAACTCAAGAGATAGGAATGCAAATTGTGGTCGATTTCAATCAACATGTTTCCAGACTCCATTGAAGTAATCATCCCCAAAAGTAGCACAAGAAGGGTGCAGGTGATGACAATCAATCCTGCAGTTGATGGCATCCCATGCCTGAAAGCTGTTGCCACTTCTTGAGAATTTCTTGTCACTTCAGACACCCCTGAGGTGTCGCCGGCATCACCTTTGTAGTGCCGAGCAGTTCTAGGTCGCAATGACTTCCCCAAAGCTGCAAAACTTGCTAAGCCCACTGAGCATGGGAAGCCGCCAGTTGGCGCAAAGGACGCACCCTTTGTTGTACATCGAGCAGCTGGCTTGACATGGTGCCTTGGCACTGCCTTTGACCAAAGCTCCATGCAATGTGAGTGGCCAAGTGACTCAGTATATCTACTATACTCACTAATCTACGGGCTCTCTAGAAAGCAAACGATCTCAAAGCAGCAGTGTGCAGCAAAAAGCTGTCAACTTTGCATAAGCATGGCCACTTTGGAAGCGTTCAATGACTCAACCACGCAGGAACCTTCGCAAAAAGATTAAACCCCATTGTCTTGCAGCTCTGCTCACTGCTCACAGCTTTGCTTGCAGCTCTGCTTGAAAACTAAATCAACAACTCTCCTTGGGAGTAAGGTGCATCATGGCAGCTTCGGGGGCCTAACAAGTGCTTGCTTCAGAATGCATCAGCTACACTAAAAAGCCTTGTGTCCTGCCTCCTTTTCTGTCGTAATCTTGATGGGAATCGGATGCTCTACGTAGGGTGTGATCTTTTCCACGTTCACCTTGCCAGGGTGTGCAAGCTGCAAGGGGTAAATAAAGAGAGGAATAATGTGCGACCGTTCACAGCTGCACCTCTGTATATGCCTTCTTTTGCCCATATTGATCCTCTTTCAAGAAAGGGATGTCCCACCTTGCCACAAGTATCACTTCTAAGAAGTCCTCTCTGGTTTACTGTTGCTTGTCTCTGGGCTTTTAAGGCATCCACCATTCCACCTCCGGAATTGGCTCTCTCCTGCTTGGACACCGACTTGGCAAATCACACAATAATTACAGGTATGGCCCGGCATGGATTCATACACCACTTGCTGCGTCTGTATGCTGCCCTGTAAGTTAAAAAAAACATTTAGAAGATTTGACATTTGGTCAAACGTTACGTGAATTCTTTTTCTGCTCCCCGTTGTCTTCTGAGGGTCAAGCGGCGCAAAGAGTGAAGGCAAAAAGAGTTACAATGGCAGGGATAGCAGGCGCGCACAAAGCACTGCAATGTGGACAGTTTGATTTTGATCCTATCCCAGGAATCTATGCAATGTACAATGACGGATTGTCAATCGTTCCATCTCTGAATCCGGCAATCCAGGGCAAATGCAGCTAAGCAGGCTAAGCAAGATCAGATTTCTTATTCCATCCAGTGCGTCCTCAGAACTTTTGGCTCGATCTTCTTCACTGGCTGCTCTTTCTCCTTCATTACATGTGAAAAGCATCATCAACTTGTTATCTCTGCCAACACAGCACTCTAATTGAAATTAAGAACATTGTCGTGCCTCTTCCTCTTGTTTCTTTTCGTCCTTCTTCTTTTGCTCCTCTTCCTTCTTTTTCTTTTCATCTTTTTTATCGATTCCCAAGGCCTGGAGCCAACGAATCAAAGAGAGAACACTATGGACTGAAAAACTGACAGGCACTGACCGGCACTGAGGCACCAACCTTCTCCTGAACCTTTTTAATCATCTTGGCCTCCTTCTTGACCAGCTCACCTTCCTCAATAAACCTGTCAGGTCAAGGAAGAATAAGTGCAGAAGAATCGCAGAATAACACTGAGGCTCGCGAAGATCATCAAACCATCAGTCTCCGCCTGAAACTTCGGCGCTTCATTCGCTCCGATCTCTCCTGGCAACGAGCGAGTCCATAAGAATTGGTGCACAAAAAGGTCACAAGTATGCAATAATACTCGAAACTGTAAGTCACAGGTTGAAAGGATTCCTCACTGTGCACTTCTCCTTGACTTTCAATGTTGGATCAAAGAACGAGCTCTCGCCCACGCCGTCCTTCAGTTGTAAAGTTGAGCCCGGCTCTCTCATTCAATGCCTTTCATCATTCAATGCTCTATCTTTGACTCTATCTTCATGTTGGCTTGATTTTTGACTCTATCTTGCTAATTATCTTGGAACCATTGATGAAGCTGATGAAGCTTACCCAGTCCTTTTTGAGGCCCAGGATCTTCTTTAGTCTCGCCTCTTTCTCTCGATTGATATTGACTTTCAAGGTGCTCACCACCTGTGAATGTGACAGGTGCGACACGAATGAAATCAACATGTTAGACATACACATACTGTTTCTGATGTTCCTGTCTTTTCTAAATAAAAACGAAAACATGTCTTTTTACCTGTTCCCTTTGAACCTGTTTCTTCCTTTCTGAATAGCACCAAATCATTCGCATGAAACATCGACACAGCACCTGTGGCTTCATCGGGACCACTTGCCCATCTTCGTCCAGCTCGCGACCAAACTCATCGAGGATGAGCTTTCGAGCCTGGGGAAGAATGCTGACACAGCGCCAGCGACCAAAACCGTTTCTTGTGAACTCATCCTTGGAAAGGTCTAATCAAGTGCAACAGCTAAGAGGATCCTCCAACCGCAACCAGTGCGGATCCACTTCAGTTTGTGTTTGAATCCTCTTCCATTGGCTCTTCTGGACATGACTCATCGACACAAAGTTTCATCAAACTATGCACTACTCAAAACCAGTCTTTCTGCACATCTCCAAATGTCCTAACACAGCACAGCAATGTGTCTTGCCTTTGGCGCTTCCCCAGTCATGAAGCCTCCACTAAGACCTTCACACACTCTCTCAACAAAATGCACACATGTCCACCACGTTCACTGGCATGCTGATTTCACTCTGGAAACGATGTTCTCAAAAGCAGCGGCGAGAATTTCATCTAGAGAATTATCTGTGCAAACGCACAAAAAAAGTCATCAGAGCTCAACCTCAAACACACTATATAGTGTTTTGAAGCAATTTGATACTGTCAGCCAAACAAAATAATGCACCTTGACCTTTGATTTTGGCCATCTGTTCTTGAATCTGCCGCTGGAACATTGCTGCTCTCTTGGCCTGGCAGAATTTCTACATGGCAATGGTTGGAGGTGATTGGACTTCCCTCCAAAACCTTTTTTTAAGGATAGGGGGGAGAAGGCCGCTAAGAGGAAGAGGTAGCTAGTGCTTAAGGTAGGACGCAGGATAGCTGACGCTTCTTCAAGAAAGCTCCCCGGCTGAGGGCAGGGCTTCCTTGAAGAAGCGCTCGTGCTAATCATTTGGTTCCTATATATATATATACTGTATATAGAGAGAGAGAGAGACAGATCTTTTGGGAAACTTAACTTAACTGCAAAAATTATATGGATTTGATAAAACAGGCTGGTGGCCATTTCTTTTGTACTATTTTCGTGCACTCTGCTTGCATCATCTTACGAGAAGCCCGTCTTACACAATTCAAAATCCAAACACCCATGGAAGTCGATTCGGTGTCGTTTCAATCCAAATCTGGCAGCAAGCATACAGAGGCATGTGACATTACATGAGTTCCTCCACCTGTGTCCGTTCAGCATCCCTTTTCACACAACATACCCCGACCTCTTAAATGCCTTGTTGTATCAAGTTGTATCCGAGATTTTACAGCCAAGCAAAGCCTTTCCCAGCTACCCTTTTTAACCCTTGCAAAATGTCAACTGTTGGTTATTACAATGGATCTTAAAAAGATCCCTATGCAATGCTGCTAATAAGCCAACCGCTCAGCCCTCAGTGATTGGAGCCCACACTGATGAGTTGCACGTTGTCTAGTCTCTGCCTTTTCTAGAGCTTCTCTTGCCGCAGATGCAGCAGCTGACAAGTCCTCACGAGCAGGCAGGAAACTCAACACCACAAAGCATCAAGTTTTGTTGAACATGGCCGCATGCTAATGACAGCAAAGGCAACTGATTGGTGTGTGATCTAAATGATACTTCTACGAGTCTAGGCAGCACGTTTCTTCCAAACCTTTTCCTTCAACTAATCTGTCAAATGAGTTGTGTGTGTTTGCCCATGCTGTCCAAAGAAGCGCCAGCAGCACCGGGTGGTCCCCTGGCATGCGCGGAATCAACCAAGTTGATTCACTTCACAAACTTGATTCATTTATCATTTCTCATGAAGATTGTTCAGTGGACTCGAAATCTTGTGCCAGAATGGCAGTCCAGGTTGCACAGGCAGCAGGCCCAGAGCAGAGGTATCCACGCCTGGCAAAAACGGAGGTAGGACCAACTTGGCTGATCCAACAGCTTAAGGTTTCATGAGAAAGCGTTCCTGACCTACCAAAGGTGCAAGTGCAAGGTCATCTGCACTTGGGACAGGCAATGCTTCAGGCTCCTGCAGGTGCGTCTAAGCTTTAACAGGTTGGGCCCTCAGCCGTCAATGTGTTTGCATCTTGGCGCACGTGGCAGGCCAAGGCACAGCTCAAACAAACAAACAAAAAAACAAAACCAGCAAACAGCAAGGTGTGGTCCTGACCCCATCGATTTCGCCTTTGACGCTTTGGCTTGGGCTCCTCCTTTGGAGCGTCAACATCCTGGAAAAATCAAAAGGACAAGAATGAACCACCAGAACCTGAAATGACTGTTGTGACATCTTGCGGCACCACAGGCACAACACATCTGCAAGTCTTTGTCTGGAGCCTCCACGACTTCGGTCGGCTTCTCAACCTCGACCTCAGCAACCTCTGCAACCTCTGTGACCTCCGCATCCTCCTGCCGCGACATGCCACAGTTGGACAAAAAATAGATCCTGACTGTTAAGTTCAAATCCTCCGCCATGCTGGGCTGTGCACAGCGGCTTCAGGACCTAAGCTGAACTGACAGAAGAAACCTATCAGGAAGAATCGCAAGGTGCAATATGCATGAAAAAAGCCAAGCCGATGAGAAACGTCACTTATGCATCAAGCACAAATCTCTGGGTGATTGCTTGGATAATTCTGCATTCAGTGAATGTACCAATAGAATTACTTCAAGCCCACGTCACCAAACTGTTTTGCCACTGATGATATTGAAAGGGCCCCTACATCCGAATTATTGAATGATGCCATAGTGTTTGAGTCCGTGTTGCTCTCATGTCGCATGTGACTACTTGTCAAATCGCTTGTCATGCCAGCTTGTTGTTGAGTAGTTACGTAAACTATGTTTGCAGTCGCCGCTGTTGTTTTTGTCATTGTTGGTCGTTATTGCTGCTGTCATGACTTGCAGCCAGCCATTGCTAGTATTTCCGCGGTTTGCCATCCGCTTTGTCATTGTGAGTTACGGTTGCTATCGCCCTTGCTATTCTGGCAATGCTCTCATGCATGTCATTGATGCTTTCGTTCAGTTTGTCTCTGCTGTTGTCATTGTAGCCTGTGGGATATTGTGCAGGGATCCTGCTTAGGCCACTACCAAAGAATTGAGCTGGGCAAGGGCACTTTGTGGGCTTTAACCAGTTCAATCCAGGTCAAGACATTTCGGGTAAACTCTGAATACCCTAAAGCCTTCTTGGTTGGGAGAATTACTCCAGCAGCATGCCTCACACTTCCAGGGGATCAGTGTCAACGAATTGACATTTCTAGTGCTAGTTGAAGCAGCCTGGGAAGCGGAGATGAGCCTAACTTCCAGGTATCTGGGGAAACAGCGCCTTGCACTTGATAAAACTGGTGAAACTAGAATATTGGTAGGCCGTAATGCTGCCTGTTGCCAAATGGAGTGAATCGACTGAGACTGCGTGACGACAGCTTGCGCGTTTCTACCTACAGTAAGTTATCTATCTAGTCTATTAAAAAAAGAAAATGTACTGTTCATTGTTGAAGAGACTTGGGATGGGGTCCTCCACAACATCTGCCATCAGGTACTCTTCATCTGATTTGTATGGGCTCTTCCTTTGCTTTCGAACTTAACTCCAGTTTCAAAATAAAAACAACAAGGCTTGGAGCAAACCAAAGGCTCGATTTCTGAAACCTCTCATTGGGCCAGGTGGACAGGAGCTGCAAAGTCTTGAACAGCACTCCCAGACCCGATTATTCTTGACGCTTGGACCCTTGGGAAATTGTGAGTCTGATTTGTCAAATTTGGTATCCCAAGGGGTTCACACTTGGCCACTGAAGAATTGAGAACTTGCAATGATTTCTGTTGTTGCTGTACCTGGCCTTGAAAGGCCATTACTAGGGCATTGAGAACCGTATCCGCTGCTAATTGAAACCAAGCTGCGTAGGGAAAAGGAGGGCTGAACCAAAGGAGAGCTAGTCAAAACAATCACAGCAGGGAAACAAACAATCAGCATCTGTACAAACATACTCCTTACATAACATACCATTTGATACACAACCGAACAGGATCATACCAACGATACCATACGTACCGTACTACTGATACTGTACAGTACCCTACCATACAAGCCATACATATATGCTAGCTCTGCGGCGAGAGAAAACAACAACGTTGCGTGAACTAGAGTGATCTGCGAGGATTGTTTGGAACATTGACCAATAGCCAATACCTCCACCAGTCCTATGAACAAACAGAACAGCATGTCTTGGCCAAAAAAGCAATGCTACTAGAGTGAAACGCCCTCAGTCAAGACATGGTTGGGTGAAGTCGGATTGGTCTGGAGGGTTCGATGCTGTCATGATGTTGAATTCTTCGGTGCCAAACGTGTGGCCTGAAGTGTGCCTGTTTATTCAGTGCAGCAACAAAAGAGTCGGAGGAAAGGTCCCCAAGATGGATTTAAGAATAGTGGTGCCAGTCAGATAAATATGTGAATGCAAATTAATATGTAAATGCAGATTAATGTGTATATATATATACACATATAAATACATATAATGGCCCAGCGAAACGGCCTGATGTCACTCAAAACAGACCGCAAAAAAAAGTAAAAGGTGTGCATCACTGATAATAATAATGCTACAGCAAAGCTACCGTTTTCAGCCAGCACAATACAACCCCTGGACTCCTTACTTCGACTAAAAAGACTAATGTTTCTTATATATATATACATCTAACTGCAGTACAAATGAGCAAGCGCTGCCGTTCAGGGTCGTTCAATGTACCTCCGCCAACTCTGAGGGTAGGGCGGTTATGCCAAACCGTTGATCATGGGACTATCGATACATTGAACCAGAACGACCAGAGACACGCATAGGTCTCTTCGAGGAGGCCGTGCAGGAAATCTAAGGTCTAAAAGTCAAGCATCAACAGCAGCCAATCATGCATCTTCTTCAATTCCACACCTTCACATCCACTGCCAATCCTGATTGCTAAAATACCCCCAACACAGGCTTGCAAAACAACAATGCACATGGTCAAGTGCAAATTGCAGGATGCCGATGCCCTCCTTGTCCCAGCGTCAAGCACGTTTGACATCCGACATCTCTCAAGGGACTTTGTGATGGCTATCTGCACTGGTTACCGGCCATGCGGGCACTTACTTCGAACTGGACAATATACATATATATATATATATGTGTGTGTGTGTTCTACGCTTGCAAGCCCTTTAAGAGATGTCAACTTCACTTGAAGCTGTTTCGAACCCTGTCTAGGTGAAACCGATCTTCTGCGTAGCATTCGGCAAAATCAATGGCCTGCATCGCGGAGTAACAAGAGCCTCACAAAATGAGACCGGTTCAATCGACCACGAAGTAGGTTGGAGGCCATCGCTAGTAGGTTGGAGGCCTTTGCTCTTAGGTTGGAGGCCATCGCTACTAGGTTGGAGGCCATTCTTCCTTTCTCTTCCTTTCCATTCTTCTTACTAGGAGGTTCTTACAGGAAGAAGCTTGACGTTCAGTCTCTCCGTTTCAGTGATCAGTATGTACAAAGTGAATCGTGAAAGCGCTGCGGGCATTGAGCCACCGGCGCTCAACCACTTTCTCCGCCAGATTTCACAGCCTTGAAAACATTCAGCACGAAGAATCTGTCAGGTTTCATGCAATACACTGAGGAGGAGTCGGTATGAGTATGCTCATGTGCCACCAAGCCGCCCATTTCATCTTTGGGGCTTTGACATCCGATGCCTTCCTTGCTAACAGCTCGTCTTCAGAGAATCGGAGTCCAAAGAACCAGAGCTGTGGCTCTGATCTGTCCATCAATGTTTGGAGTTGTTGCTACTTCCTCTCTCACTCCTTCCCTCTCCTCTCTACTCACTCTCCCTCTCTCCTCTCTCTTGGAGGCCTGATTCTGTCATCCAGGGGCACAACTTGCGCGACATCCTCTTGAATTGCTCAGTCTGCAACCTATGAATATTGCGTACAACACAATGTGTCCAGGCTACAAAATCTGCCAGGAATTTTTAAGTGAGAACGGGTCGCTGCTCCTCGGACTCATCATACCAGCTTGGCTTGCCCTGGAAATGAAAACGGGTCGATCCAGTTTAGGAAGACAAAGACGCTGAGTCTGAATGCCTAATCACTCTTCAATTAAGCTGTCATCTTTGCACGCGCTATGTGTATGGGCTTTGACTACAGTGCCTCCTTTGGTAGCCACACGGGCTAATGCCCTTCGCCAATGAATAGGTTTGGCTGTGCTGCTCTTTAATTTCTGCCACCACAGGGAAGCTGACTGTGTTGAATCTGGCTCAGATTAGAACGTTCAGATTCACGTTTGACAAATCCTTGGCTAATCTTGAATCTGGTGCTTCTCCTGGTTTGCAACCCACCCGGTGTTGATTCCTCCTCACATTGCTGCAACATCTTGCCTCCTGTGCCATGAAAGGCCTTGAATCTTCGTTTAAATGCGTGGTAAAGGTATTCCACTTATATAAACATGGGTGCTTGAGGGTGAACATGTTTTTCCCAACTGGATTTGTGCACGGTGGCAAGCCTTTGCTTGAGTGCTCCTGGGATTTGTTTGCGAGGCGTCCCTTGAAAAAATTGCGCAAAATCTTTGACCCACGAGCCACACCTGCAGAGATCGGTCAAGCAAGGGATGCCAATCACTCTCAAATGGTACAGATGCCGGGGTGATTCTTCTGACTTTTGCATTGGGATTTGGATAATTAAAAAAAAGAGGTTGCGTCTATATTTGTATGAGTCTGGGTCCTGGTCACAGCCAGAGTGCACAGAAGATCACATCATGTGCACACGCCCTGATGGACACAATGTATATATAATGTTTAAGGTTCAAACTGGTCCAATCAAGGTAGGCTGGCTGTAATCAAGTTCGAGAGTCTGGCTAAATCGCGAGGTTGGAGTACGTGGGGCACATGCATCCGAACTTTGGTCCTGTTTGCGTTACCGCACGAGTGAAACATGGGGACCTAAAGCTTTCGTTGCTGGTAGTGCACATTGTAGCAACTTGCAGGACGTGAACATCTTCACCTCAACCTTCAGAAGAGATTTTCTCACCATGGACCATGGGTGTGTACCCACCAAAGAACACCAAAAAACGTCCCGTATTGAAGCTCCACTAGCGGCATGGCATGGAAGTTCATTCGGTTGGAGTATATACCGCTGTGGGTCGGACCTGATCGCAGGTCAGTATATGCCCCAACAGGGACACTAGGGCGCTTCAATGAACATTGGAAGTCTCTGGACTTGTCCACCTTCTTGTATTGCTTAGACCGTCTCACTCATGGCTTTAAGACTGACCAAGTCGGTATGGTTCTGCGGCCATCCCAGGCGACGCTGGAGAAGGTCTGTTGGGCCGTCCACATGTTTTTTCTGGCACACAGGGCAGGCACTCCTCGTCCTTTGGCGAACGCAGCTGGGCTGATGACAGAGCATACAAACTGGAACTGCTGGGCGCTGTAGCAAACATTGCTGAGTTTGCGAGCATCTCGTCGCGCTGAAGACTGAAAAGTGGTCCACTGCCGCAGACTAAAATGCGGTCAAGGACACCTGACCTGAGCCACGTATCCCTGGATCCTACGTTTTGATTGCATATCCGACTGGTGTTTCTTTTCAGTGAACGGTGTCACCATGAGTCAAAACCATGTGTGTATCAGTGTGGACTTAGGAGTTGTTCACCTATTTCATTCTCAGGATCCTACACTACACTGTGCGTGTCTGTGCATGTGTGCCGTTGATCTTGGTCCAACCTTTGTCCATACATTCTCCAAATCCTTCAGTTTTGCAGTCCCAACCTTGATGCCCTTGTAGCCAGGCGGTGCTGAGTCCTGCACATCTCACCGCTCAAGCCAGGTTCCTTCTTTTTTGCCCGCTCCAACTTAATTAAGTAGCGCCTAGCTTAATGAAGTAGGCGACTACTTAATTAAGAGAGTAAGCTACTAGCTATATAGGACGTAGGATAGCTCACGCTTCTTCAAGGAAGCTCCCCGCTCATACTAATGACTTGGTTTCTAGATGTGTTAGGGAAACATAAGCAAGAAGAAACTTTGAACCTGCTCACCCCTGCACGCAATAGAAGGTATTTCTGCAGTATCTTCCTAGCAACCAATAGGCCCAGAACATCCCTAAGAAGAAAAATACGTGCAGCTTACAAATAGAGTGAGCCAGGTACGAATATGAAGAATTGGGCAGTGGTACGCCGATAAGCTGGGAGGTCAGAACTTCTTCCAAAGTATCCAGAATAAAGGAAATGTGCAAACTCTCACAGGCAGCTTCTTGAAAAACCACCAAAAACAATGGAAATGAAACCTCAAGTGGGGAAAGGAAGAGGGAGGGAGGGCAAGTTGGTCAAGCGAGGGGAAGCAAAACAGCGAAGCCTGCACAATTGCGCAAGCCCAGGCGAGTTCCTACAAAGAAGCAGGAGCAAGAGAGCTCAAAGCGGAATTATACAGCAATATGAAGTCACCAACAGCAGCATGCAGGCAAAAAAAAACAGGACCCTGGCACATATTCACCGTGACAAGCTCGAAGCACTCTTCTACAACCTTCTCAGCATACACTGGACTCACAAAGCACAATTTTTCAACGCAGTTGAACATGTTAGGTAACGAGCAACTAACTGCACTCCTGTTTTCGGACTCAAGCGCTGCGGACATGTGAGTAGTTTTCAACTAGCAAACAGCTCTCTCCATACATGCTAGTGACATCGAATAAAGCTGACACCCCGCCTGAAATTGAAAAGGCGAAGTTCTGAGCTTTTCTATCTATGGTACACTTCGTCACCATCTGCAAGGTGACCACGGAACAAGCTCGAAGTGTAGATTTCCATGAAACGCGTTCAATCATTCTGTAGTTCAAATGAATTCGTTCGTTGTGTCCAGTTGTCGTGACATGCATTCACACATACTCCTTCTCCGGTTCAGCACTCACATCGCCTTTCCTAAGTTCTCGGGCGTAAGTCACACGCCTGCGCACATTCTCGTTCTGCATCACTTCGAGATTCCCTTCTTGCTCTGGTTCAGGAATTTCAAATCTTTTGCTTTCACTAGGTTTGGGCTCTTCACTGGATGAAGCTCTTGTTGCCACATTCAAAGCCTGGTTCATATCACTCCTCTCTTCTTCTGCTTCTTCTTCACTTGTCGTAGTACCATGGTGAACTGTCATCCAAAGATCTGGATCACTTGCTTCACTCAAGCTGCGCCATCTGTAACGGCTGGAACTCCACTGTAACCATCAGATGCACTACCGCTCCCACTTGAACGTCGTAATGTTTCCAACTTTCCAAGCGCTAAATCATTCAGAAGCTGCCGAATGGCCTTCCGAGACTCCTGCTTCTCGTAGCGAACTGCCATGCTTACCAATGCTATCACCATGCATCTCTTCTCTTGTAAATCAAACTGCACTGCATAATCTTCGTGCCTCTTTCGAAGCTCATTTTCGATCCACTTCAAGCCAAGTCTCAAATCCTGCTCAATCGAGTTCTCTGCAATTGGTCCTGGCTCGTCGTCCTCTTGTGCGGGATTCGGTTCCCCGCCTGTGTTCATTCTCCAGCTTCTCAAGAAAAAAATCACCGATGAAACGAATGCCACACAAATGCCACGAAGAATAAAGAGATGACTCCATTCAATTCTCTTTCAACTTGATTGCAACCTTGAAGTCCTAAACCGATGGTCATCAACGCACCAAGATTGTACCGGTTGAATCTCTGTGCAAATGCTTTTTGTACTGTTTGGATCATCAGTGTGCTATTGCAATGCTCGAAAAATTCGTTGGCTCCGATTCTTGTTTCGATCTCAAAACCTTCAGTCAGCATGACTGTTTGCATGAAAAACAAAAGGAAATGTCGTCGGCTTACACTGAGCTTTTTCGCATTGAGATCTGCTACATTGAGTTTCGTCGAGATGGGTTTGATGTCAACAGAACCATTCTGTATGAGTCTTTGTGTCCATAGCAATCTCACCTGAAAATGCTTAAGCCGTCCTACTCCACTACGTTGCAACCATTGCCTTGCCGAAGATGAATCAGCTCGAATGCAAATCCTGGCAACGTCTTTCATCAAGAACTCCCAATCTGTTTCACCAAAAGTGTTTCGCTCAATCCTCCTGTCAACGCCAACAGCTCGGCTTCGCAAGACGAAAGTGCTATGCTCTTTTGGGTCCTAGAGTGACTGCGCACTACAACGCTGTTCAAACAAAGTATACCTGATGAGGTGCTCTTGCGGGAATGTGCGCTGCCAGCCCAATCTGAATCTGTGAACGGTTCAAACAAATGTGTTCTATCGTTGTTCTCTTGTTCACCTTCTCCTGAAACATTGTTCAGTTTCCATGTCATCGAACTGCCTGAGGCTTCATAGCCCATGAGAAAAGTGAGATTCCTTGTTCCCTTCAAATACAAAATCAGATGAATCAAACAATGCTCTGCGTTCACCGTTGGGGCCGAAAGCCAAGATGCCAAAGACTTGATCGCAAACTGGCAATCAATACGCTCTTGAGCAATGTACATCAATGTTCCTAAACCACTGCGAAAGGACTTTCTTCGCTCTGGGTCGACGTCCTCGAGGCTCTCGCTGCAATCTACTTGTCCCAGTAGCTGATGGTCAGGTGTCGCTTTGGGTCGTTTGTGCTCTACGTTGTATAGCTTGATCAATGCATCAAAGTACTTTTCATTGGGCTTTACAAAAAAATTCCTTCAGGAGTAAACTTGTACTTCTTCTTCAAATATCCGATCTCTTCTCCAGCTCCTACACTGCCCAAAGGAACCGGACCCTCAACCTGAAGTTTGTACTTTGCTCTCAATGCTTGCAAAAGCCACTCTCCATCTCGGGGATCTTTCACAGCAACTAAAATATCATCTACATGCACGTTGATTGCTGCTTGTTTTGTTGTATGTCGAAACACCGAGGGCATCGCTAAGCTAGATTCGAATCCAAGCTCACTCAACACCTGCGAAAACGAAGAAAACCATCTCTTAGCTCCATTCCGCTGTCCGGGTAATACTTTCTTCAGTTTCCAATCTGTGTCATCTGAAACTTGCAAAACCGATTTGATCCAAGGCCTCAGTTCTACGATGCATTCCTCACCTGGTCCACTGTCAAATCGGCATCGCTGATATCTAGGCTGAGGAGTTTCCAATGAAAGTTCAAATGCAAGACAAAGAATAGCCTCACTGCTGAAGTCGCGGTGGTTGGTGAAAATGTCTCCTGATCAGAATGCGCTCCAGCTCTGAACTCCCTTGCAACTATCCTGCAACGTCTTCTCCAAGCTCTTTGCCTGTGTCTCCAATCATAAACCTCTTTCAAATAAATGAACTTCGTCTCCTGGAAATTCACTTCTCCTACCTTCGTCTCTTTTACTACTCCAAGGTTCTTCAACTTTGAAACTTCGTCAATCATGGCCTGGTCGTCCAACTTCTGTAACTCTTCTGGGGAAATGTCAGGAGTCAGGCGGTCGTTCACCCTCAAAATCAATCTCATCCTGCAACAATTCAGGGTCAAAATCAAAATATTCTTCTGTCAACTGTTGTTCAACCTCTACGTCCCAAACCTCATCATCATGTGGTTTCATCTCAACCTGGCCAGCAAAATACGGTGCATACAAGCGTTCATGTGTCCCACTCGAAGGACTTGAAGCCAAACCTTCACCTCGGGGCGCTTTGCTCCGAGGAGATTCGTCGCCAGCCAATTCACCTGAAGATCGTTCTGCACTAGTGTTCACATCCATGTCGATCTCATCAATCAAAGAACTAGACTTGTTCATCTCTGCCATCACTTCTGGATTCAACAAAGGAGGGGTAAGAGGAGCACGTTCACCAGGGGATGTCGGTGCATATCCTGACGATGCAGCATCCCTCACATCTTCTTCATCTCTGTCTAGAGCCATTTCTCCTTCCCGTGGTTCACGATGTCCAACATGCTCAAAAATAGCGGGAAGAGGCGTACCTAGCCCACCAGGTGTCTTTGGACCCTTCTGTTTCAACCATGGGCTTGACTGCAAAGCTAAAACGACCAAGGCGTACCACATCTTCTCACTGACCTCGATGCAAACTGTCCGGATGGTGTCAAAATGATATTCATATCAGCTGCGTCTTTATCTACCCAGACTCCTCCTGTCCAAGTGCTCACTCCTTTCTGTTTTGAAGGTTTCTTCAAACCGAAGCAAAATTCACCGAATGGCATCAACCTTCCTTCGTACTTCTTCCCAAAACCAATTTCGTAGGGCGTCGCTTTCAGTGCTCGATGTTCATGAAATCTGTTCAAAAGAAAGCAACTGTGGATCAAGGCCCAAGCACGAAGCACGCGTGTATCTTCCAACGTAATGCCAAAGGCATCCTCAACCTGCAAAACAAGTGCCGTTGCTTGATGCTTCATGGTCTGGATCTGTCTTACCACTCTGGCCGTCCTTCCTTTGTGGTCGGGCTTTCCCAATCTCTTCGAGGATGGATAGCCCATGTTCCTCCGCGCTTCAATGACCATGTCCAAAAGGCTCAAAGTCGCTGGTTCTGAATCCATGACAAAAATGACCTCTTTCAAATATCCAAGTTCCAAGGAAAATCGCACTGCTGCTTCTGCTGCCTGCCTGTACGCTCCCTTCGTTGTCGTCGGGAACACATTGCTGTACCTGGTCTTTGTATCTAACATACACAACGCAAAGCCTGCTGGCACGAGTGTCTTGCATGGATTGGACAGCTTGACAGCCCATAGCCTTCAGTCCTGCAGACTTGACTACGGTGTTGGGCGCAGACGCGTCCTTTTGCTTTGTCACACCCTCTGACTCCAACTGCTCAATCCAATGCTGCTCCAACTCCTGGTAGAATTGCCTGGCCTTCTCAATGTCGGCAGAGACATTCAACAACGGGGTTGGCTCTGAGCCTGTATTCTCCAGCAAGCCTTGTCGGTCAGCATCCAATCGCCATTTGCCCTTCTCCATTCTGTCTTTGGACTCTTGCTTGAAGTTTTCCAGATCTTCTTGGTCGTTGATCCCTGAGATCACCCGGCGCTTCTCAGACTGGTCGATCTGAACTCCAGCAAACCTGGTTACAAGCACTTCACCTCTTCGGGCGATGGTGAGTGCACCGGGCTTGTTGCACTGCTGCTGAAAGCCCACCTTGGCAGCCTCAAAGGAGTCATAATCGCCAAGGGTCATCTCAATCTTCACAAATCTCGACATGGTCTTGCTCCGTAGAAGCCAGCTCACGTTCATTCTGCTCCTGCACATTACCAGCTCCAGCGCTAAAAGTCCTCTTGGTTCCCTTTGCTTGCTATCGGCGCTCTTCCTTCTGCTTGCAATACCACTTGACTTTCTCTGCCGGGGTCATCTTCTTCAGATTGGCCCGCAAGGTTTCACCCTTCTCTCGTCGATCCTTTGCTTCTGCACTCTCCTGAGCATTGGCCTTAGGTTTCTGACAAATTCTCACCAACCACTTGTCAGCTCCAAGCAATTGCGACGCAGGCAGTTCCTGCCGTTTGGCATGCTCTCCTTGAGCAAGGTTGGCTCCAAACATTTTGAGGCAAACCAAGCCTTGCTCCGCAGGAGGCCCAGCTGATGCCTCTCTTGTTTGGTCTGCGCATCCTTCGGCGGCATGCTTGCTTCTTGAAGTGGAGCACGCTTTGCAAATCACTACTAGGCCCAAATGTCTACTAGCAAATTTTTTTCCACCAGCACAATCCCGTAAGTGAATGATCCAAGACAACACTCCATAAACGCAAAAAGTTTGCAAATGTCTTCTCGCTGGCACGGCAACACAAAGCTCAGCAACTTGCAAATGTTTGGTACTTTGTTCTTGCTCTGTGCTATGGTCTACAGGAATTGAGCTCTCTAATTCTAGCAGGCCTCAATGCCCTCTCTGACGATAGTGCAATCTTCCGAAAAATTGCATCTGAAAACTAAATTGACGCTCTCATTAACGCAAAGACTTCTCCAGGCAGGCTCCGGCATCCTTGCTTGGCATCCTCCGCCTTGCTGATGACTTGCGTTTCTTTCCCGCTGCTGCATGTCGGCAAATCCTTTCAGTCGCAAGCATCAACCCTTCTGCAACGCTCTGCAAATGTTAAGGGCAATACATCGGCAGCAGGCATGACATGTTCCAGTGGGGATTGGAAATTTTTATGGTATACCAAAGCTCACTCAACCAGGTCACGCGTGTCGAAATCAAATCCTCTCTGTGAGCAACGCAAAAGCTCTGGCGCGAATGACCAGGAATGCTTCTGGGTAAAGATGCACAGGCTTGTTGTTTTGCAACGCAAATGCCTGCAGCTGGGGAAAATTGCCGGGTTTTCCATCAGGCTGCCAGAAATGCCATCGCACTCTGGAGCACCCAGATTTTGGTACTGTTCAATCCCTTTGCGCACACAGGCTTCCTGCCAAGGATAGCCACAATAGAGGTTTCTGCTGCATCAACCCGCAAAGCCCATGCTTGCAGGACGCATCAATTTGAGCAACGCGACGGCCATGCTCTGGATTTGCTGCTAGCAAAGCACTGGTGAAACCAACTGAACCAGCTTCCCTGACGCGTTGACAAATGGTGTTGACATGTCCTAAAGCAAGCGCGGGAAGACGGCGGCCTTGCCACGTACACCCTTCACCTTCAATTCCTGCCTGCCTCATTCGCCTGCAACGTTGCCATCTGTTCGGCTGGGCTGCAAAAAGACCTGAATGGCAAAAACATCCCTCTAACCAAGATGCTTCTTTTCCTACAGTCCACGCATAGTCCGCCACAGCCACAGCAGGAACCAAAAATGCCAGTCGCTAGCCAAAGCAGCCCCAACACTCTCAACCAGTTTGGTACTGGCGTCTGAAAAATGTCTGGGACCATCTGGATCACAGAGAAGGATAAACGCGCAGCCACTGTCCACAAACAGTTTGCAAGCTCTCCCATCTCCAACTCAAAAGTCTTGCAGAGAATTGATGCACAGCTGCTCTCTCCTCTCATGGGAGCATAGAGCTTTTCTAAAACAAGCGATTGGGTGGAAGGTTCTCAACTCAATTGGGTCGCAACTTCTTCCAATCCGCTAAAGATGATGTGCAATAAGCCTGGCGTTGAAAGTCCTCGCTGCTTCGAGCGCGTGCTTGCCTGGAGAAATTTGCGCAAAACTCCCCTAAATTTCCTTCTAAGTGACAGGGTATGGAGATAGACGACGTTCAGTGCCCTGATCAGAAAGGAAAGAATAGGCCTGGTGCCTCCACCAAGTAAGGCAATCCGAGCCATACTCAAGACACGCTGCGCGCACTGCGTGCACCAAAGGCCGGGCGTTGTGAGGCATTGACGCTTCGCCCCTTTCCAGGGTCAACGCAGGGAGAATGCTGGAAAGCATTGAACACTTCCACTGGCTGGAACAGCAAGGCTTGTGTCAACACTTCCTCAAGCGCGCAAAAGAAATTGCACTTCGCTTGCGGGCTTGCATCGCTGGACAGGTATCTGGTAACCATATGTCTCACTGCCAAAGAAAACATCTCCTGCTCAACATCGAACATAAGTCCAGCTTGATAAGGATGTGCCTCATGGTCCCATAATCTGACACTGGGGGAAATTCTGCTGATGGATTGGCTGAGTCATCCATGACCCTACAGCACAATGAAAGTACTTCGTTACAATGGTATGCATTGGGAAGGAGAAATGACAACCGGATTTCCTGCCTTGCACTTCGCTTTGACAAGGATCGCCCCAATTTACCCCTCTGTTGTAATAATCTTGACGGCTTTCATTTTTGGGCTTTGAAGTCTGCTTAGGCACCAAGGGCGCGTCTCCAGGCTTCAATCGCAGCCGCGCGCAATAATTGCACGGTGTCACAATTCACAAATCACACAAAGACTGAGCAGGTGCTTTTGATTTAAAAACCAGATTTGTGGCAACGCAGCTTGTGGGAAACACGGACTCCTCAGGAGCAACCTGCCCCAACTTCCTGACACAAGCTTTCCCTGCCACATGGGATGCCAAATTGCCAGGAAATTTTGGATTGGCTGCAGTTGTTGTCCTTTGAAAGTGTCCTTTGCTACATGCAGCAGGTGGCTCAAAGAAATAAGCTTCGGAAAACTCCACGCTACAAATGTATCAGCATCGGGCTTTTCTGCTGCGCTACCTGCCAAAGATGCCTTTGATTTCTTCACCTTTCGGTTGGCTTCTCCAAAAGTGGCCCAGGCATCCCTTTGCCTCTGAGCCTCGTTGCCACCAAGCAGCCGCACGTTGGTTGCCCACACAGCGCCGTCCACTTCTGACACCACAGGAACACAAAGGAAGAAGGCGCATGGGAATACCTTTCTGTCTTCCCTATAGGCCTTTCCAAACCCTTTGCCATCCGAATGCGTTTCCAAGAACACCGGCTCCATTTTGAACACTGAAAAAAGAACGCTGCAAGAATAAGCGACAAGAACAAATTGCATAAGCAGAGGGCCACCCACCCCAAAAGCCCTTTCGTTGAGCCTTGTCAAGAACAAATCATATTCCTAACTTTCACTGGGTTCCAACACTGCAATTGGAAATTCTCTGCTCAACACCACTGAAGCCTCTATTTGCAGTGAGACTATGAAGGGGTTAAACACCGCTGGACAGCTGGACCTTACCTTCTTCTCACTCTCGCCATCCAGTCGCGGCTCCCAAGAGGAAATCTGTCACCTCTTGGCGACACTCTTGCGCCATCTTCTGGTTCAGGTTCCATGGACAGCTGCTTGGCGGCTGGTAGGCCACCATGGGTTTCCTCACCACTTACGCCTTGCTATCTTCAGGTTCTCGTCCAACTGCCAGCCGCTCGTACTCACCGACCAGCTTCTCGCACTTCACGAAGCCCTCTAGAGGATCTTGCCTTTCTCAAACTGAGGGAAGGCAGCCAGCGCTTGGTTCTCTTTGTCTTGTCTTTGGCTGGAACTGTCCGTCCCAGGCCTTGAAGCGTGGTTGTTCATGACACTCCAGATGATCCAAAGTGGTCCGCTCTTCACAAAGCTCACCAGGTAGGAGTAAAGCTTCCGGGCTCTCTTCATATCTCTTGCTCCAAATCCTTCTCCACATACCCCAGGTCATTGGTGTAGCTCTCCTCGATGAAAGACATGTAGCCATGTAGCTCTTAAAGAGGGAAGACCACTCAGCCCATGATGCCTGCTCCTCATCCATTGACGTGGGGCTCTAGACATCTGGCTTCAGCAACATGTTGGGGTCAGCTCCTCCTGGTCCATCGCTCTTCCCACCAAGCTTGGCAAGAGCTGCACTGCAAACCTGCGCAAACCCGTGGAGCTCTTGCACCACTTGAACTCCAAAACCACCACGGAAGATCTCCTCGACGTAACCTCAGGCAAGGATTGCAAAGCTCTGCTTCTCCAACTTGTTCTCCTCAAAGCCTATGGCTCTCGTGAGATTGGGCTCAGGCACTGGCCCTCTGGAGCTCCAGGAAATCTAAAGAAATCCCCTTCTCAGCTCCGCTACTATCTAAAGGGCTCGCACTCTTTTGAGCCTTCAATGCGGCCTGCAGTTGAAAGTCTTCTCAACATGTTTACACATGGAGGCACATGTGGTGATTCACTTTGATCTCAAAGTGTCACACTTTAACACAGATAAACTGCAGTGAACTGAAGTAGCCTCAGCAACTGTTTCACATGTTTCTTGCAAGTGGCATTGAAGAAACCTTAAGCACTTAAGCAATGCTTGTGCACTAATGCCCCGGCATTTGCATGATTGGTCCTCCCAGTCGATGCTCCACTTCCCAGACGTTCCTTTCCCTTTCTTCGACTTCCCTTTGCCTGACAAGACAAGTAAGATTTAGCCATGTCACAGCACTAGAGCACGGACAACGTTAACAAAATATGTGCTGTGTACCCAACATCTCTGCGAGAATGAGCTCTGATGAGTGCTGCAAAAATTCCAAAGGTACAAGTGAAATGGTTCTGTGGGCCGAACTTGAAGACTGCAACCCTGATAATGCTAATTTTGTGTCCTGAATTGAAGTTCATGGCAAGTTTAGTGCTTATGCACTTGACTTTAAATCACGCAACAAAGGATAGGAACATGTGATGGAAGTGAGCAAGCGGACAAAAAGGGTGGAACGAACATGGCATGAAAATGTCAGGAATGTGTAGAGTGTAGGGTGACAATCTGGACATCAGAAGCGCAATGTTGAAGTGAGAGAAGAAGATGAAGGTTAGCCTCCTTGGAAAAACATGCTTGGAAACATGGCAATTATGTATATAGTCGTTTCCAAATCTTGACAACAAGAGTTTCGCGCCCTTTTCTTCCATCTAAAGTCCCCGAGAAGCATCTGTGATTGACCCAGCCCCTTCATCATGCACGAACTCCATGCCTAATTTCCCAATGTAGGAAGGACAAATCCAACACTTGCTCAGAATAAGGCGAATCACTCCTATGTTTTTGAATCGGATGGGGTGCTTGTGAACCGGGCGTTGCACACAGCTCTGCCAGCCACCAGCAAAACACTGCACAGACTGTGAGCTCGCATTGTATAGATACCCCAACAGCTGTTGGACTCTGTAGCCTTTCAGCTGCGTCTATGGTCAGTTTCAGCAGTGTTCAAATGCATGCAGTGTCTCGATAAAGGAAAACAAAGGAAAAAAGAGTGAGAACAGGGCTAATCAATCTGCTGTACCTGCATCTTCATCGTCTCCGGCATGTATAGTCATAGAGTTTAGGCTTCAACATGGTTCGCCATCACAAGCACAACTCTCCTGAGGCATAGGTGGTACCTTCGTGGCCTTCGTGGCATACCACGTGTATGTTTATATACATCTATACATACATACACACATACATACATACATACATACAGACAGACATACATACATACCATACATAACATACATACCATACATACATACATACATACATACATACCATACCATACCATACCATACCATACCATACCATACCATACCATACATACATTACATTACTTACAAACATACATTACATGCGTTACATACATTACATACATAACATACACAACATACACAACATACATAACATACATACAAACAAAACATACATACATACATACATACTTACTTACTTACATTACATTACATTACATTACATTACATACATACATACATACATACATTACACACATGCCACGCATAAGATACATAACATACATAACATACGTTACGTACATTACATGCATTACATACATTACATGCATTACATGCATTACATGCATTACATACATTACATACATTACATACATAACATACATTACATACATTACATACATACATACATACATACATACATACATACATACATACATACATACCATTGCATTGCCTTGCCTTGCCTTGCCTTGCATTGCATTGCATTGCATTGCATTGCAAGCATGCATGCATACATCATATATATATATACAGTTACATGTAGATGTGTGCGTGTGTCTGTCTGGCCAATATGACCTGTACTAAACTTAAACAGAATGGACAAACGGGGAAGGATACAGTGTATATATGTGGTCCAAGCCAAACAAGCCAGGCTAAGAAAAGAAACTGTTGTCTAATCCCCGGTTACACTCAGCTGCCCGCTAAAATCTTCCTTTCCTTTGCTCTTTCCCCTGAGCATGTAGACTTTGTCTACCAACCAAAGGTCTGAAGGTCCTCGCTTGTCTGACCCTGAATCAAACTTGCATCATCAAACATGCAATCAAACGACCGGCAAATTGAGGTCGTTGCTTGCTGGGAGCACCTGTTCCCCAGGATTCCATTTGAGGAGCTACCTCTGACAAGGAAGCTCTGCAAAGTAAGTGTCCACCAACAGGAGTGCCTTTGCCTGATCATTACCAATTCGAGGGCAGTCAGGCGAAAAAGTCAGCGGTGGTTGTCTGTGGCGACTGCCCCAAGGCTTCCAAAAGCCTGCTACTGAAAGAGCATGTTCCGCGGTTCAAAACCGCAGCTCTGGTCGGCAACTGTATGTATATATATATATATCTATCTATTCATATATATATATATACAAATGGCTCAAGCCATTTGTCTCCTCAAGCCAGGGTCAGGTGAGATAGGAGCCGCAATTTCGTGGCTCAGGCTCCTTTGGACTATGTGGTGCAGAATCTCCAGTACCGGTTGGGCAACCCGCGCAATCGGTGCTATGCAAATTCACCATACCGCCTGTGGACTTGGGCGGGCAGTTTTCTAGGAGGACCAGCACTGTGGCGCAAAACTACAGATGCTGTCATGACCACAATGACTGGTGATGAGGTGGTACAGATCACTCATCTACAGACTTTGAAGCCTCTTTGGGAGCGCATCGACAACAAGTTCACAGGAGAGCGGCATTCCCCATTCATTTGGTCTGTCCGGAAACTCCTGAACCACAAGAGTTTGAGCAATTGTTGAATGTTTGGGCAAATCAAGCAGAAGGACAAGTCTTTGAGGGTGAAGGCTTATGGGTGGCCTAGATAGGCCGCTACAGAATGGACAAAGGAAGCATCATCAAATCCTACAGGTTCCCAGCATCTTCAACCTGCCCATCACCAAGGATGGCAACACCACTGGCACGGAACAGTATTCCTTAATTGGAAATCTGTGTCACTCTGGGGATGCACACAAGAGTGGCCGTTACTTTGCGGTGTACGTCTACAGGGGCCTATACTGGATAGTTGACGATGGCTCATTTCCACGACCAGTCCCTAGATTACCTGATGGTTTAAAAATGCAGATTGTTCAGGTCTGGGCGATCCCTTCGTCAAGGTTGTTACCGAACGATGTCCCATGTGATTTCCTGACTCAAGCAATTGACAATCAAGAAGAGAGACCAGCAAAAAGACAATGTCAGGCGGTCATTCCTTTCACATTTGCCAATGTGACAAGCCTTGGCCCAGAAGTTCGTCAGTGGTTGTTGTGTCGACCGAGGACGCCCATTTTTGTAGCAGAAACGCACTTGGCGGATGAGGACTACCAGAAAGTTCATCAATGGTTTGCCACAAGAGGACTTGGTGTTCTTGGTCACCCAGCAGCCAGTAGCCCAAAAGGAGGCACTCACGGCGGCATCCTTGTGTTGTACCCTCTGGATCAGCATTTCCATTTTGCGCAAAAACAGGTGATTGATGGATGCGGATGGTATGCTGTGCACTGGAGTTTTGTCAACCTGGACTTGGTGATGGTGGTGGTCTACTTTAAGTGCGGGGAAGGCATTCAGGGAGCCACCAATTCACTCCTTTGGTCTGGATTGTTGACCTTTGTCTCGGGGATTCACAAACCGGTCATCATTGTTGGAGACTTCAATGTCACACCAGAAGAATTCATGACGACCACTATGAGCTCCATCATGAAGGTGCAAGTAGTTGCCACAGGTGAGGACACCTGCAGCACAGGACGTGAGCTGGGTTGGGCACTGGCGAGTGACTACATTGCAGCGGAGTTGAGCATAGAAGCAAATTGGATTGCGCCTTTTCGACCACACGCTCAACTTCACTTCAAGCTGAACAGAAGTGTAGATCACATTGCCATGCAACAAATCCTGAGGTTCAATCCGGCGCCCAAGCTTGAAAACATCACTCGAGAATGGACCCAATTCCCTGATGCTGCTCCTGAAGTACAATGGCTGGACATGGACAACAATCCCCTCACCAACAAGGCCGGCCTTCTGCACAGCAAGATTGAGCGGTATGTTCTTCAACACCTGGAGAATCCTAAGCTGGGACGGGGAACACAGCTGGACTATGTTCACAAACCATTGGTGGACCAAAGCAAACCATGGCTTTGGCGGAAGGGAGGACAGGCGTACTGGGCCCAGATCGAAGTTCGCCTGCAGCAGCATCTACACCGCCAGCAATGGGACCTTAGCAAACTGCATCATTTACAAAAGCTTGGGTGGCATCTGGAGGAACACTGGAATGGGGACGCAAAGGCCACTTTGGAAGGTTTCAGGATGCTGTTCAATATGCTGTGGACCAATCATGATGCAGAACATATCCAAGTGCTACTCAAGTTTGCGAAAGAACAAAGAGAGCTGCATAGCGCTGAATCCCTTGTGGTTGAAACGGAAATCTACCGCACATGGATGAGCAAGGCTGCAGAGAAAGGGCGCCGCGGGCTCTACAGACTCAAGAAGGACGAGATGCCATATCAGAGGCGTTTCCAGGGTCAACCCCGAACAGAACGCATGGCCAGCCGACTACAACAATGGGGAGACATCTGGAAACAGCAGGAAGCTCCACATCCACCCGCAGCTTTGGAACACTTGCAGAAAAAAGCTCAACAGCATGCAAATGATCTTCAGCCTCTGACGGACATGCATGTATGGAAAACAATCAAGTAGCTCTCCCAGAAAGCTCCAGGTTTGGATGGCATTGGCTTTGACTTTTTCAAGGCCCTTCCGTTTCAGGCCATGAGGAACCCATAGCGCTGATTAGCAAGAATGCCGACGTTGAACGACCCATTGCACTGGTGGCCACCATGTATCGATTGTGGAGCCGTCTTCGTTCACCCTACACACGACAATGGCAGCTGGAGATCCAACATGAGTACTTCTGGGAAAGAGCAACGCCAGGCACAGAATGCCTACAAGTTGCCCTCAAGAGGGCCTACATGACTGAACATCACAATGCAATGCAGAAAACAGTGGTGTCAGTCTTGATGGACATGTCAAACTTCTATGACCGCATCAACCTTGAGAAGCTGGCGCAAAGATGGCTGGATTCCAATTACCCTCCGGTCCATGCTGCTCTTGCTATGCAGGTTTACGCAGGAGGGCGCATTCTTGAAGCAGAAGGTGAAGCTTCCAAACAGATCTGGGCCAAGAATGGAATCCTCGCAGGAGATCCCCAAGCACCCTTAGCAGCAAAGATTTACTTGCAGCCAGCACTCAAGAGTTTCCACAAGAAGTTCCCACAACTGCACACCGATCTGTGGATTGATGACCTGTCCTTTGATGTGGTAGATCGCAATCCACAAAATGCTGTGAGGGTGGCAATTGCTGCATACAACCACATCACCAAGCTCCTGGAGGAAGATGATCTGGTGATCTCATCCAAGAAGACCGGCTTTGTTGTCAGCAATACAAAGGCCAAGACCCTCCTTCAACAGCAACTTCCTAAGGAGGGCCCAGGTGTGCGCGACGTGATGAGGGATCTCGGCATAGACTGCACCGCGGGTCGTTTGAGGAGGATTCAAACAATGAAGCAACGCCGAAAGAAGGCCAGTCGGAAGACCAAGAAGTTGCAGGTTCTCAAAATTCCTCTACGGTCCATCCGCCTCAAATTGTACAAGGGCAGCATTGTAGCTGGAATAAGCTGGGGTCATGAGAGCATGGGCCTAGCACCACAGGTCCGCAAGCGGCTCCGTGCAACTATGGGACGCCAGATGGGGTTGCAACGAACAGGGAACTTGGACATCATTTTCGACATGCACAAAAGACACCAGGATCCAGACTATGGGGCCTTCATCGATCAGATCAAATTTTTCCACAAATCTATGGAGCTTGGCCGGAACATCTGGGGAGAGATCTTGAAAAGGCTTGGCAAGTCCACGCTACGAGATTGCAACAGGCCAAATACCCCTGGCAGGTCGCAAAAGGCCCAGTTGCTGCATTGCAATGTTACTTACAAGAGAAAGGCTGGACTGCGGACAACCCTGCAGTTTGGACTAAGCCGGGCTACAATGGCCAGGAGGACTTCAAGCTGGACATGCACTCTTCATGGCTGAACATCAAGGATGAACTCAAGCGAGCTGAAGCAGCAGATCGTCTTTTTGCAATCAGCCAAAGGTCCTTTCTTCAGGAGGTTCAGAAACCGCTGGACTGGCTGCCGTGGCAACGACAAAGCAAGCATCTCAACAGCAGAAGTGCAGTTGCCCTTATGACCTGGCATCAAGGGGCAATTTTTACCAAGGTGGCAGACGGGGAACAGCATTTGAAATGCCCGCACTGCGGCCAACTGGCCACTTCAGTGCACGTCCTCTGGTTGTGCAAAGAGACGAACAAAAGGTTTCCCAAAATGGAAGCAGAGGACCTCTTTGAGTTAGAGCATGGAGTGAATCTTGAGTTCTGGTCACAAGGACTTCTTCAACTTCCTGACCTTCAGGTCTCAACAGGTGGCGCTGCAGTCCAGGCCTGGGGCTCCTGGACCACACATGATGAGCTGACCCTCAAAAGGCAAGAAGTGGTGACCATATAGGCATCTCCACGACTTCGAAAGATGTTCGAGTCCGTCATTTCGTTGTGGCAATTGTGCACCACGTTCAGCTTGGGGGGACAGCTTTATCGCCAAGGAGCTGTCATCACTGTGCTGCCAGGCCGGCAGTCGTGGGAACGTGCATGGTTCTACGGAGTCCGCATGGTGGCTCATTATGTGAATTTGCAAACGCCTTTGGTGGTACATGTGAGCTCAACACGAGCCCATGAAGCCTGGACACAGCACAAACACAAGGAGGTCTTCTATGACATGCAGGACCTCATCACCTTGGATCAGAGAGCACGTATCAAGGTGCTGGCCATCACAGCTGATCAGCTCAAGGACATGCCCAAGACAGAATGGTCTTTGAGAAACCGCATGGCTGATGCTAAGAAGGCAGCGCTGGAAGTGGCGCTCTCCATGCAACCTAGAGAACAAGAAAAGGTGTTGCAAGAGCAGGACAAGAAGTACCGGCGAATTGCGCCATTGGTGATTCAGCGCATTCAGTACTTGCTGGACGACAAGTCTCATTTCCTTGACCAAGCCAGAGAAAGTGGCAAACAGGTTCGACAGCAAGCTCGTGAGCACAAACGAGCCCTTGAAAAAGGGCTGGTTCCTCAAACCAATCCGGCTGGACACCAATGGGAGCACAAAGGCCGTAGTGTCCAATGCAGCCAGTGCAAAAAGAGGCTGACGATGCACAACAAGACTGGGAGAGCACGACTTTCGGATCCACACCAACTATGTGGTTTGTCAGAGATGCAGTGGCCGGCACCTCAAGCATTCCTCTAGGGAAAAGCTTGTCGCCCTTGCCACCTCCAAATGCTGGCATGAAGAGTGGCACCCTGAAGGTCCATGGACGGGCCACAGATCCCACAAGCTCTGGCGCACAGGGCGCAAAGTTTTCTGCCAGCACTGTCGAGCACATGCCCTGGCAAAGCAAGCTGGATTTGAAGCAAGCCGACAGCTGAGACAATGGCCCGGGCAGCAGCAACTGCCAAGTTGCTTCAAGCCCAAAGAGGCCAAACCGTGAACACAGAAAAGGAGCGAAAGAAAAAAAAAATATATATATATATATACAAATGTCAGTTGCGGAATGAAATCTGCTATCTCCCGTTGGAGGACAGCTCTGGGGATTCTTTCTGGAACAATGGTGTTGTTTGACCTTGCCCAACCTTCACACTTCATCAATTCCAAAGAAGTTCCGGTCTTCTTGTCCTTAGAACAAGCCTTTGGGGGTTGCTGGCTTTGCATGACAGGAGTAAAGCATTGAAAATCCTTTGCTCCCCAAGCTTAACGACCAACAAATGCTGAGGCCTGGAGATTGCAGGCCAAATTGCATGTTGGGCTCCACAGGCATCTGGCGCAAAGAATGGGTGACACAACCCACTTCTGGAATGAATGTGCTTGAGAAACTATTAAAATGTCATGGCAAACCACCAATCAAGTGCGGGAACACTCATTCCCCCCAATGCTCTCTGCCTCATAAGGCATCCCCATTTGCATTGGAGGCATCCTCAAAAGAATGACTGCATCCCTTGACTTGCTTACCGTATTTAGGAGACAAGAAGTATCTTCGCTGTCATAACAATCAGGAAGTGTCATGACGATAGGATGCGAACATACCAGGAGGTGGCATGAAATCTGGACAACCGGCGCCTTTGCCACCAGGAAACGGAGCCTTGGGCCATCAGTGATCAACTTCTCATGAAGGTAAAGTACACAACCCGCTCTTGAGGCATTGTACACCACGACCCCTCTGTCATGCAAAAGATGGGCAACACAATGTCATTTTGCCAAGGGACTGGAGGAAAGCCATGCATGGGATGCACATCTCCTTCATCCATTGGAGGCAACCTTTCTCGTGACAATTCTAAACATTGCACCAAGCATGTGAACTTTGAAACTGCATCCATACGCAATGAAGGAAATATCCAACTGCACTTTACCACGAGTCAGAAAACGGTGTCCAAATGTTGGAAGCACAAGCTTCCAACCATCGTAGAATGAGGAGCAAAAAGATAAATATAAAAGCTATATGATGCAATACAGTAAAGGGGACAATGCAGCTAGTCTAGTGTCTAGTTACTAGTTCATTATAGAAATAAGAAAAATGAATGCAAAGAATTTGTTGGATCAAATGTAGACAAAGAGGCCCTGGGGGCACAAAGCCCATGCTTTGGTTTACAGGAAAAAAGCTGCGCAAGAAGTGCTCTGACTTGATGGCTGCATTCACCGGCTTGCCCTTGGGTGGCAAACACACAGAACCTGGTTCATCCCAGAACGCAAACCCCTCCAAGTCTTCTCCCTTGCCACTTCAACTAAGCTCAACCGTACACTATGTACCACGCTTGAGAAGCAAGAAAGTCTTGAAAACGCTCCAGAGTTGAAGCGAATCTGAGGAAAGGTCCTTGAAAGTCTGCGACCGCAGCCACAGGACAACTTCTGGGGCAACTTCATCGACGAACTTCACAAACCAGGTGTTGTTCACCTCGTCATTGAATCTCGAATCAAACCATTGATTCATTCATTGAAATTGCCCAAGTTTCTCAAACAAACTCAAGCCTTTTAGTTGCTCTGGCTCATGCAGTTCACGCCTCTGGCTTGACACTCACCACATTTTCAGCATATGGGCCAGTTGAGAAAAGGCTCAGGATCTCTTCCTCCGTTAAGGATTTCATTCAAATCTCTGAATATAATGAGTGATACTTTCTTCTGAACTGAACACATCTCAGAGGCAACCTGCACAGTCCTCTGTCGTACCATCAGGCAAATCTCGAAGAATTACAATGTGCCTTTTGGACTTGAATACTGGGCGAACCTGAGCAAACACAAATTGGATACCCATAGCAGCAGAAAAGCGTTTGTATAGAGATTGTGCAAAGCTCTAGGCAGCACACCATGGTTCTTTGGTCATCCACTCCCAATCGTTTCGACTTTGCAGCTGCAGCTGCCACCTAGCTGAAAAAAATGGAAGCAAAGTGAAAATGAATGCCAGCTGCACGCAATTGTTCCTTACACACCTCAAGCTCACACATCCCTAGCCTGCATCTGCGTAGCTCGCAAGCTTTGCAAGCGGTCATGCTGCAGCAGAACAGAAATAGGAATGTACCTACGAAGCACATCAAACTCCCTCAAACTCTAGGAAAAACATCCCTGCGCACATCTGTGGATTCATCTTGCTTGCCAAGAACTGGTCTTTGACCAAACTTTTCTTGGACAGCATTGCTTCAAGTGCATCCTTGCAGCACCAAGTGTTTATTTTGACAAAGTGTGAAGTCTCTAGAATGCACCGGACTAACGTCCTGAATTTGTTCATCCACGGACTTGTCCTTTGTGTCCTTTGGCTTTGGAGCATCTGCTCCTCCTGGCGTTTCCGCCTCCATCGGCCTTATTCACAATCAGGATTTGTGTGCTTTGTTTGTTGCAGTTGTGTTTTCGTGCATAGTAAGCTTGAGACCGCTTGTCAAAGCAGGCCTCTCATTAACAATGGAGCAACTGTCCATCTACTTGCAGAAACGGCTGCATTTCATTGTTAAAATATCTACAAATGTGCATCCACAGCATGAGCCCACACCTACTCTCAGCAATGCACACCACCAGAGAATTATGTTGGATGTTGAATACGAAAATGTAAAAAATCATATAAGTAGCAACCCAAACGAATATGTTTTGCTCTGGATACTGGCTGCAGGCTGTTTGGTCGAATTTAAAACTCTTTGTGATATCTTACCCAGTTCACTCCATGCGATTGACTTCACAACAAGGTCCGCATCAATGAAAAAAATTTCAGTTTGTTGTCGTCCATGTTGATGATTAGCTGCCAAAAAGATAACGTTGCCGCAATCCCCAAGGCCACCCAAAAACCGAAAAAAAAGATGCGAAATGTGCGGGCGTGTTATTGTCCACTGGGGGAAATTAGGCCTAAATGCCAGTGTATGGTCGTGACACATATGCACACTCTTGCCTCTGTGACATGTTTCACGACGTCCGTGAAGTTCCTGACACTCCTCCTTCGTTCAATTGGTTTGCGCCTTTCCAACGGCTGCAAAAATTGCGAAAATGAACCATACCAGCTGGCGCTTTGCAACTTGTGCATTTGATATCATAACCTCATTGCATGCGCATCACTTTGATTTAACTGTTAAATATAAGATCATTCGTCTGTTCCTGCAAAACCCTCAAGCGCTCTCGAGTGTGCAGGTCTTGCTTGGCATATTCCACAATTCCTGTTCAAACTCTCTTGAGCTCAGTTGCTTGGCGTCGACCCACATTGTAGTTTGATTCTTGGTGTCCACCACGCCGGCCGACGGAAAAAATCATGTGCCAGGTTTTTGAGGCTTGGTGACACCACATATTTTCTGAAAAATCGAGCTCCCAATCAAGAGCGGACAATTTTTCCGACCACAGCCTCGCGAGAGATGCCTGCAAGATGTAAATAATCCTTTTGGGCGAGATTGACTTCAACGGTTCCTCCACAATGAGAGGAATAAGTTTGACTCCGGAATAAGGAGACATGAAACGTAGGAAAACCGGAAGGTGGAAGGGCGGGAACCAAAAGGCGTTCTAAGCAGCGACGTCGATCGCGGTTCCTGCTCTCCGGTATCCTGGATCAACGTCTTTAAACAAGAAGAAACAAACAAACAAACAAACAAACAAACAAGCAAACAAACAAACAAAAACAAACAAAAAAAACAAACAGGAACAAACAAAAACAAACAAAAACAAAAAACAAACAAACAAACAACAAACAAACAACCAAACAACCAACCAAACAAACAAACAAACAACCAACCAAACAAACAAACAACCAACCAACCAACAAAACAAACAAACAAACAAAAACAAGCAAACAAACAAACAAACAAAAACAACAACAATCAACAACAACAACAACAACAACAACAACAACCACCAACCACCAACCAACAACCAACAACCAACAACCAACAACCAACAACCAACAACCAAGAACCAACAACCAACAACCAACAACCAACAACCAACAACCAACAACCAACAACCAACAACCAACAATAACAACAACAACAACAACAACAACAACAACAAACAACCACCAACAACCAACAACCAACAACCACCAACCACAACAACAACAACAACGAACAAGCGCAAGAACAAGAACAAAAACAAGAACAAGCACAAAGCACAACGACAACGACAAGGACAACAACCATCACAACCACAACAACAACAACAACAACCTACCAACTACAACCACAACTGGGCGACGGACGGCCCAAGAGCGTTTGCGCTTGGAGAGAGGGGGAGAGGGTGTGAAAGAGTGTGGCGAAAAGAATGAACAGTGAACAAAAACAAGCTCAGACAGCTTGACAGAAAAACGTCCCAAAGATTTGCGCTGGTTTCTGTCAAGGGTGAAAAGCTCTTTGAGCAGATTTAGATTCTGTTCTGAAGAAGCTTACAGTCGCAATTCAAGTCCATTTTCACCGTTGAATGTGAGAATTTGACCACCACCAACACTGTTGGTTCATGCACCAGCGATTGCAAGGGTGTGAACTTCAATCACTTTTTCCCCCTTGGAGGAGCAAAATGTTTGGAAAACGAGAAGATTTGAGAATCGCCGGCAAGAAAGCGTTTGGCGCGCATGATGTTCTTGATCGAAAACAATCAAGCTTGCAGATCAATCAGCTGCTTTTTTAGCAGTCTCATTGCAGCCTTGGAGCCTATGTTTGCGCATGTTCACAGGTCAGTGTTCTGGAGCCATCTCTGGTCGTTTAGTGTGGCAAGGATGGTGAGGAAACCTTGTTCCGTTTTTGTTTAACGTGTTGTTTGATGCATGTTGTGAAGGAATTTTGGTTCTCTCACGTCGTGAAAGTTTGACACACGGAAAAGAAAGCATTCCTCGCAAGCTCTCAGCATGAAAACCGTCTTGCAAGTCAAGTGCATGCACGACGACGGAACCGCAAAGCACACTCAGCCAAATGGTTCAGTCGCAGCAAACTTGGACAAAACCCGTGGGACATGTTTCCCATGGTTCTCAAATGTTCTGTAAAATGTTGTCCACTTACAGCCAAGTTCTAAGAATCATTGAAAAAGAAAAAAGTGCAGAAAAAAAGCAAAAAAAGAGCAAAACCAAAAAGCAGAAAGAAAAACTGTCTGGATAAGAAGCGCAGAAACAAAGCAGAAAAAAAGGAAACAAAAGTGCAAAAAAAGCAAACAAAAAAGGAAAAAAGCAAACAAAAAAAGAGAAAAAAAGCAAACAACAAAAAAACAAGAAAAAAACAATTTTTCACCCACTTTTCCCCCACTTTTTTTGTGGCTCTGGAATTTGTTCTCCCACTTTTTCCCACTTTTTTTGTGGCTCTGGAAATGCCAAAACTTTGCACTTTCCTCGAAAAAAAAGCAAAAAAAGTGCGAAAAAAGTGCGAAAAAAGTGCAAAAAAAGTGCAAAAAAAGAGCAAAAAAAGTGCAAAAACAAGTGCAAAAAAAAGTGCAAAAAAAGTGCA